ACAAATTAAAGACAACTAGGTCAAGATCCAGGATTTGTGAGTAGGACTAACAAGTGTTCCTAGCCACCAAAGGCTGAATGAGGTGAAAAATGAACTGCAGATCTAAGGAAGCCAAGGTTTCCTTGAGAGTTTATACTATAAAAAACTTTACCCAATGCAATTCTAATCAACCAAGGCTCTCAGTTAAGGAAAGGATGTTTCCATCTCTTGGGTTGAAATCTAAAAGCCCCAATGCACATAGAAGGCAGAGGGGCAGTCAAGAGCAAGAGAGAAGTCTGCATGGCTGTCGCCTAAGACATTCAAGAAGTAAACCAGAAAGCAGATAGAGTCCCTGGCACAAGCAACCAACAGAAGGCACCAGCAGAAACAGCACTGCCACAAGCACTGATTAATAATACACAATGAACAATAAATAGTAGTCATTAGTTTCTAAGTAAAACATATGTCTATTTTACAACCAAGAAAAATAGAAGAATGCAGAACTTAAGCCACTTGTCCCCACAGTAAGACAGCATATTCAAGTTCAAATGCCTGGGCTTATATCCTGACCTGGTTATCTGCTTAGCTATTTTCCATGGGAGTCTGCAGGCTGACAACTAATCTACTGCTAAGTCCCTGGTCCCCCAACACTCGTTCCTTCCTCAGGTACTTCCTTTCTCTGCTCCCCAATGCCTGTAACTCAACTCCCAGAGAAACTCTGTTTTCTAGGATGCTGCCACTTATAACCTTCCATTGTGTTCATTTGGGCATGTGTCCTCCTCACACCTCATGAAGGAAACAAATACAATACCCTGAGCTCACAGCAGCCACTTGGTGTGCTGACAAGATTACTTCCCAAGGTCTAGGTTCCCAGCCATCTCAAGCCCCCTAAAAGGATCTTGAGTTGAGTAAATATCAATTGGTGAAGCAAGACTGGTAGTGTCTTACCAAGTTGATAAGCTAAACTCCAGCTCTTCCAAAGTTAGAATTATTCAGTTTTATGAGAGAGTTTGCCCTAGATTTGTTTATGCTTGCTGTTTCTTAGAAGGATCAGTGCACGCATTAGAGAAAGCAACACAATCTCTGAGTTTGACATTGAATCAGGTTTGCCTGATGTCTTCTAAGCAGCAGGATCTTAAACTTTGTTTTAGGATTGTTCAAGACAGGGTCCTTTAGCAATGGAAAACAAGAGGCTAAAAAGCAAACCACTGATGGCTTCGCTACTTTTTATGTGAAAAATACTTCCAAGTTAAGCAATTACAAACACAGGCACCAACCCAACAACCAAGTAATTTATAGGACTGTTAATCTGGATTAAAAAAGACAGGGAGGCTGATTTGAATGCTGCAATTCATTCCTCATTTCCAACAAGTCCTGTTCCTTTTCTTGGCTTCAGTTTTCTTCCTTGTAAAACCGAGGCCAGATCAGACACCTAAGACCTCTTCTAACCCCTATAGCAGGGGTCCTCAAACTACGGCCCTCAGGCCACATGCAGCCCAACTAGGACCTTTATCCGGCCGCCGGGTGTTTTTGCTGCCGCTACCTGTCCTGCTTAGCAGCTAACTGGTCCTGGGGCCCGCAGTCCGGCCCTCCAACGGTCTGAGGGACAGTGAACTGGGCCCCTGTTTAAAAAGTTTGAGGACTCCTGCCCTATAGCTTCTGCTCTTTATGTTTCCTGGATAGGGCTTGCTGGCTCCATGCTCAGAAAGGAAAGAGGTAAGGCGCACAAGTTTATCAAACAGGCAAGATGGAGGGCAGCATTCCATTAGTTTCTTTTGATATTGGAATTTATATACACCGAATAATTTGAGACTATGGAAATGCCTTATGTGTATTCACTAAGAAGTTGAAACTGAAGGGAGAAAATTCTACTGACTCAATAGTGAAAAAGATTCATTCTGTTCCTTCCTTGCCTACCCAACAAGGTCTTAGGCAAACATTTCTCAAGCCCACCTTCTAAGCTAACTCCCCATTCTCTCTTAATTCTGTACAAAGCCCTTGTTAATGAGCCAATTTGCCATTTCCTCTAGTGACCTTGAAAGTATTTAAGTCCTACACCAGTCCTCAATCTTTTCAAATGTAAGTTCCTCTGGGGCAAGGAATAATTTGCTTGTTTTTTTCTTCCCCCCTTTCCCTTCAAATACCACAGTATGGACTCAGCTTTGGGTGAAGTTGAAAATGAGCCAGGCTAACACTTTTTGGTCTATTTCAAAATCATTCTAAATTGCAGGAAACCTGGCAAAGAGGGACTGCAAAGGACTTTCTGTTTAATGAGGGCTGAGCCAGGTTATCTCTTAGGATCCCTTCCAGCTCTTACTTTACCGGGTGGCATTATAATGCATGCTGCAAACAGGACCCCAGGACAGACCTAGACTGCTAAATGTTGGAAGGTCGAGTTAGGAAAACTTAATCTGGTGTGATCTGGGTCTTCGTTCTCCACTGTAAAATTAACAAAAAATTCCTACCGCCTATTTACTACTTGCTAAATTAACACATGATATGTAAGCTTAAATGGCCTTTTCACAAGCAGAGACAATGCACATTTTCATCACTCTTCTACCTGTGAGCCTAGAACACTGTAGAGACTCAAATATTTTAAAGACTCTAATAACCAACTGAAAGGGAAACACTAAATGTGTGCCCTAAAGCAAAATATTTCTCTAGGCTTCAATTTTAGCTTATAAAGGGAAGATAAAAATACTAGTGTTTTTGTCAATTTAGGATTGCGGACAACACAGGAAATAAAGTGTGTTCCATGGTCAAACAAGTTTGGGAAACCTGAACTTTGTGAATCTTGAAGGAGATGATGGCAGAAGAGGATACAGAAGGCAGCCTGAACTTACTGAGCAGTGAATTCCTCCTTATCTGGAGCACTTATTGAGCACCCTCAGTCTGCACAGCAGCCCTATGCCATAGGTACCTCATCTAAAGGAATGTTCCTCACAAGTTTTACAACTTGTCCCATGTCTTGTGTAGTCAGTCCTTGGATAAGCCAGGACTTTATGTTAATCTAACCCTAAAGTCCATAGTATTAATCACTATGTTATGCTGCCTTTGTTTCCTGTGACGTTTTAACAAATTCTACAAGGGAGGAAAGTCTAAATAGTATTTGTTGGGGGAGTATGCAAGGGCTTCAAACTGAGGTTGAAGTTTCAAGACTGGCATCAATGAATTAAGGAGAGATAAAGTGTTTGGCAAAGCCAAGTTTCTACATCCCATGGGAGTGCTGTAAATCCAAACCATTCATTAACCATACAGCAGGAGAAAGTCTGAAAATAAAAGGATTTCAAAGTAAGTGATGAGCTCCCAGAATACAGGTTAGGGAAAGAATCTCCTGGGACAGTGGTACATACCCTAATCCCTGCTACTTGAGAAGTTGAGGTGGGAGGGGTTTAGCCCAAGAGTTGGAGATAAGTCTGAGCAACATAAGAGATCCCACTCTCATAGAAAAGGTTTTTTTTCTTTTTGCAGTTTTTGGCCAGGGCTGGGTTTGAACCTGCCACCTCCAGCTTATGGGGCTGGCGCCCTACTCCTTTGAGCCACAGGTGCCACCCTATAGGAAGAGTTTTTTTTTAAGATTTAAAAGAAACAAAAATATTCCACTTGAGAAGAGGGTACTTTTACAGAATGGATGGAACAAGGATGCACATAAAAGTAGATGTCTTAAAAAGGACCCCAGGTGAAAGTGACCACATCTCCCAAACCACCAGTCAAATAAGGGACTTGAAATGAGATAAGGAGTTCTGTTGGGATAGGCCTGTGGGATCTTAAAGTTGCACAAAACCTCCAAACAAGATTTTAGAAAACCACCCTCTCCAACCCCACCCCCAAATCCTAACCTATTCTTAAAGGTGAAGGAGGACAGCATTATACTTTGAGAGGATCTAGGCCTTCATTTGAGACAGATCCTGGTTCACAGCACTTAAGCTATGATAAGTATAAGGAAATCAGGAGTACGGTCCTCTCCTTTCAAGTGGATTAACCTTAATCAAGTTATTAGTTGTTCACTTGTAAGCTTGAGTTTCTCTATTTATAGAAAGGGGAAAGAATCTACTTTTAAAGTTGTTACCTAAAATCATGTCAGAACTCAGACCATAGCTGGGACTCAGATTAGTAACCTTTCCCCTGGAATCTCCTGCCTCAGGAAGTCTTCTCAGATTTTCCTAGTCCACTGCCTTTCTCCTCTCTGATCAGGTTCCCTGCTACCTTGCAGTCTGAATAAGGCTTATGAGTACTGAGTACTTAGGATGAAAACTGTAGTTAAAACCCAGAAACCAGGAGTAGTTCTTTCAGGACTGCAAGACCTGGGCCTCAATGACCCCCATTTTCTTTATAAAATAAAACCACTTCCCCCAGGCTCAGAGATCAAAAAAAAGACTAAAATATAAAATGAAGGGGAAAGATGGTAGAAGGTTTGTTATGTGACAGCTATATGCCCACCTGTGGGGGTTATTAGTCAGCATGCCTCAGAGGACCAAGCCAGAAAACTGTCGTTTTGCTTGATTGCTTGGGATGAAGGGCTGGAGGGATCGGTCTCAGAGGAAAAGGCAGGATAATAAGCAAGAGTTTGGGAGGAAGAGATGGTGGGTGTCAGGAAACTTGGAACCAAAGAGAAAATAGTGTGGATGGATCCATTAAAGTTTTCTGTTTGGGAGGGAAAAAGGATGAGGCACTACATAGTGAGAGGGTTCTGCAATTCTGCCACCAACTCTGAGCCCAGCCACCTCTACTTCCCAATCAGATCTTGAAAGTGCTAGACACTTAATAATCGATGGCTCACATTTATCGAGTGCTTAAATGGGTTCTTGTTGTGAAAAACCCAGTTATGAAAAATCCAGCCAGCTTTTGGGCCAGAAGCTGACCCTGGACACTAAGAGAGCGAGGCCCGGAATGCCTGGGCCCACGGTGACAGGAGCAGGACCGGGACCGAGGCCTAGAGGTATCTGGGACAGTTTGAACCGAGCCGTCCAGAGGGGGTAAGGTCCGGCCCTGGGTGGGCAAGATGGCCCACGGTGTCCTACCTTTGAGGGAGGTCTCCACCAGGCGCAGGTAAAGCTGTGAGTTCTTGTTGCCGTGACTCATGCGCTGGGCTAGCCCGTTGCGCTGCAGGACGCACTCTTCAAACTGCACCACGTTCTGGTGGCGCCGCTTGAGACTGGTCAGGGCCCAGAATTCAGCCAGCGCCAGCTCCACGTTCTCAGGGGCGTCGCAGCGGATCTTCTTGACCGCCACCCGGGCCCCGCTGCGCCCGGCGACTGCCTCGTAAACCACGCCGTAGCTGCCGCGCCCGATCTCCGCCAACAGGCTGTAGCGCGGCCGCGAAGAACCGCCACCGCCTTCTGGCCGCCGCCGCGCCAGGTAGGCCTCGCCCGGAGCCTCGGCCTCCACTGGATCCATGGCCTGGGCCGCCGCCGCCGGCCTCAGCTTCGTGCTGGGCGCCCGCGGCACTGGGCTTCGCCTTTTCCGCTCTGGGCTTTGTGTACCTCTGCGGGCGCCGTCCTTCCCCGTTTCCATGGCTGCAGGCAGCGGGGGGAGCAGCAACGGCGCTGCCCAGCTCCCCCCTGCCTCATCCCTCCGTCCGGCCCCGGGACGCGGAGGAGCGGGACCTTGGATTGTGACCTGCGGACGAAAGAATCGGTTAAACGACCAGGCCGAAGCGGGGAGGCAAGGAGCGCAGGCCGCGGAGCGTCCCACCTCCTCCTCCTCCGGCCGCCGCGGCCCCTTTAAGACGGAAGCCACTGCCGCTGATTGAACGGGGGAGGGGAGGGGAAAGCGGGAAGACGAAACCACAGGCCAGTGGCTCAGAGGGGGAACCGGAAAGAAATGCTGAAACTCTCCGATTTCTCCGTTAGTTTATTATATAGCAATAGTAAGAACAAGAATTGGCTACATTGATAATTTACAAAAATTGCCTTAAGAAGCTATTTAGACTGTTGAACTCTTTTTTCCCTGCCTGATCTCCTCCAGGATCCCTCTCCCTGCGTCCCGCCTTGTGTTCTCCCGGGTGTAAACAGTCCATTGAATTGAGCCCTAACGGAGCTCAGCGGACTGGCCCAAGTCCCCAAGGGCCGCGGGTAGAGGGGATTGGCTTAAAAGTTCAGTTTCTCTGACAGCGACAAGCCGAGGACCCAAATGCCTTTCCCCAAACGCCGAGGCAGCAAAGATAACTTCACTTTCCGCGCTTGACTCTACTGGGACCGCGCCCTTACCTGGCCCGCGCACCTCCACTTCCGGGCGGTCCGTTTCCCCTTTGGAGCCCCTGCCTGGGGATGGTCCGTTCCGGGCCGGAGTTGCCCCCGGGACCGAGAGGCGCGGGAGGCAGTGGTCTGGCTTGGACGTGCGACGGGTAACGCTGCCGCACCAGTAGTGGCAGCGGCGCTCACGGGGGAGGCCCAGGCCTGCGGGCTCCCGTGGCTTTCCACGTGTTCGCGCCAGCTGAGCCCTTTACATAACCTCTTTATATAAGCCGCACCTCCCGCCGGCGCTTGGGCTAGTGGAGACTCCTGGTGGCCCATCCCCCGGGAGGCCAGCCGAGTTCTGAGCCTCCCGAGTACTGCCAAGGTCGGCTGAGCAGCCGCAGCCGGGCGCACCGGCACGCCGCGCTGGGGCCCAATCACCGGCGAGAACGTTCAACCAACAAAAAATAGGCGCCAAATTCCCGTGATCCGCGGCGGCCTTCCAGTCCGTGCAGCTGCTTGTGCACCGCAACCTCTTCTCGCCTGACCTGCGTGAAGACTAACCGCAAGCAGCAGGGGCTCAATAAATACTGATTGGGTGATTGACTTGATTTGTTCGATTGATTCCTAGCTCGGGCGTGAGAATCTTGCAAGTTGGAATCCGGACCGTTCCTTCTCCCCAGTGATTTTGCGCAAATCATTGCCCCACCTTGATCCTGTTTCCTCTGCAAAATAGATAAAATACTTAATCCTCAGGCATGATTGAACCAAATGAAAGAGAAAGGGTGGCTAATTGAGTGTGGGGCTGTAAATTATTCTTACTGTAAAATTAAGCACAGATTTTTGGGTAGGTTTTTCACTGCTTTATAAACCAATGTCCAGTGGATGCCCAATATTTGTTAAGTGAATCTACAGATATGTATTGAACGCTTACAATGTGCTCTGCACCATTCTAAGTGGTTTGGAAAAGAACAGTGGACAACATAGTCTCTGCCTTCCTTGAGATTTGGTGGATTGGAGACAAACCACATGAGTAACGTTGGCAAGTTAACCAGATTGTGTCTGGTTCCACACCTGTAGGATGGGAACACTAGGGATTCGTGGAAATGTTACAGTTAAAGCACTTAGAAGAGTCTTGTACACAACAAATATTAGGTACTGTTATTAAATAAATGTACAGGATAACTTGCCAGTGAAAAGTGTGATTAAAAAAAAGAATGAGTTAAAGAGTGCCTTGGGGTTGGGGACAGGTGGTCCCAAGGCTTCTGATGGTCACCAAAAGCCTCTGTAACATTTTTTTGGATGAAGTTTCAAATTTACACATAAATTGCAAGAATACTAAAGAATTCTTGGCTCGGCGCCTATAGCTCCACCGGCTAAGGCGCCAGCCACGTACACCTAAGGTGGCAGGTTCGAACCCCCAGCCCGGACCCGCCAAACAACAATGACGGC